CCTCTATCACACAATTGATGGGCAAATTTACCCAGAAAAATGAGGCTCTTTAGGCATTATCATCAATGTCACGTCCATGCCTTGATTCCCAAATAGCTCTCTGGTTTTCTTTCAAGAGCCATCCTCTGCCTATTAGCCATCTTCAGCTGGAATGCACTGCTAGTATTTCAAACTTAAGATGCCTAAATTCACCCCCGCTGGTTTGGCTTAGTAGATAGAGCATCGACCTGCAGACTGAAGGGTCCCAGGTTTGAGTCCAGACGAGGGCACATGCCCAGGTTGTGGCCTCGATCCCCAGTAGGGGTTGTGCAAGAGGCAACCAATCAATGATTCTCGCTCATCATTGATGTTTCCATCTCCCTCTCCCTTCCTCTCTGAATGCAATATTTTTTTTTTAAAAAGATGCCTAAATTCAACCCCAAATAAGTTTCTCCCCCAACTTTCCCATTTCTAGACATAGTATCACCACCCTCCTAATTATCCAGGCTTGAAACCTCAGAAACAGCTCTGACTCATCCTTCTCCCCTCAACCCTGACATACATGCGGGCTGCTAATTCTGGTAGGTTATATCCCTGTATCACTTTTCTACTACAGGCCAGCAACGGCCCGGCCCCTTTACCTCTCAAGGGAGCTCATTGTCATCTGATTGTTCTGCATGCTGGCTGCCAGGCTATTACTACCTTCTGCGCCAAAAGATTTCTAAAGCAAAGTTTTGATCATATCACTCCTCTGCTCCAAAACCGTTGGTACTTAATCCTTACCACAGCCCAGCATTCCAGGAGCTTCATTAAATGGCTCCAACCTACTTTCCGAGCCTGTCTCCTTAATCACACCATATATTATAGCAGAATGGAACTAGATAATTTGCTGTTCCTCATATTTCCCTCTTTGCTTGAAATAACTCTTTCATTTCCACTTAATTCTCCTAAGAGCATATCAACTACAGCTTCTTTCATGAAACTCTTTGTCATGCTCAGACTGGATAAAATGTCTCCTTTTTCCAAATCCTGATGATGCTAATTTGTGACTTGGGAACCTTATCTGTTCTGCCTTCTGTTATAGTTATCTGGCTCCTTGGCTTATCTGCTTGTCAGTTCTTTGAGGACAAAGGACCCTTCTTACCCTGGTATCCCCAGGACATACTTTCACATAGTAGGTCCTCAGATTTACTGAGTCAAAGTTGCTGAAAAACATATTCATTGTCACCTTTAAAGTAAAGTTAATATCTTTGGATCCCAAGGAGAGATTTTATTTTCTTCTTTTGCTGATTTCAAAACTTGAAGCGAATTAGTATAAAAAATCATACTGCTTTCATTCCCTAAACTCATAAAAGGGACTTATTTAGCTGTAATTTTTTTTAAAAAGCCTAAGAAAACAACCCTAGTGATGGAATATAAGACATGAGACCACAAACTAAACACAGTGTAAAGGCTTAACAGACACTAGAAATCCATTTGCCCACAGTGCGCAGGGCAGAAAGAATCCTACCCAGCAAGGATTCAGAAGCAAGTGTAAAATTTGCATTAATAAGGGGAAATTCAATCCCTCAGCAGCCATGGGATTCTGCAAATCCTGCAAGGGGGGAAAATCAGAGATCTTCAGATTAAACTCTTCAAAACCAAGCTTATCACCTTTCAGATGAGATTTCCTAATTATATACACTAGTTTAATGACATTTTAGTTAAAAGTACATTGAAATTCACTGTCCTAGAGAAACTAAGATGGCGGCATAGATAAACACCGGGAAATTGCTGCCTCCCACAACAATTGAATAATACATCAGAAAGACAAAACGGACATCATCCAGAACCACAGGAAGGCTGGCTGAGTGTAAATTCTACAACTAGAAGGAAAGAAAAGCACACTGAGAGCCAGAGGAGCTGCGGAAGTAAAGTGCAGAGGTA